TGGGTTACCCCCTTCTCCCTGCTCAGATCCAGGACACCAATCCGCATGACACAGTGAAATGACCATGTGCTAGACCCGCTGCCTTTCCGGTGTTCATTTAATCGAATGCTTTGGCTGAGGACCGTGGTCATTCTCCTGTCAGGTGTGGGCGCCCTGCCAGTATGCTAGGTTAGGAAGTGGTTGATGGCCCTCTTCCCGTAAAACCTAGCCATAGAAAATAACAAGTATACGGGTTAGAAGCTCACAGCTCGATTGGCGTAGAGCACGAGCGACACGCATTGTCTCTGAAGGTGGGAACGTACCTAAGAGTGTTCAATGGTTTGCTACTGCCCGCCCCAGGCCAGACAGCCAGTGGTCAAATTGGTGCAAACCCGACAAAACCCACCTGCGTCTGGCCGTGGTCGCAGGTGCGCATCCTACTACGGTCGCAAAACTTATATGCATCGTTCCAGCACTTTGAAGACTGCGTGAGACGGCCGTCAAGCAGACCCAATCTGTCTCTGCAACCACATTCTAGAGCTGGATCTGCACCACACTGCCTGGCTATTGTATCAAAAGTTCCGGGTAGAGTCCCTCAAGCAAACCTCCAAATCATCCACTGCCTTGTTGGTCAGACTATTGAGCCAAAGGCTCCGGGTGGAGTCCCTCAAGCAAACATCCGAAGCACATCCGCCACTGGCGTGCGACTGCCCACCAGTACAATCGTATGCCTGCGCGCAAAGCGCCACGCATTGGGTGCTGGAACGTGCGCACACAACTGGTCCGGAACCCTAGTGAGCGCCCCGAGCGACGCAATGCACTCGTCGCGATGGAACTAGCGCGCTACCACATCGATATTGCGGCGCTCAGTGAAACCAGACTCGCTGAGCAAAGTAAGTTGCATGAAACAGGTGCTGGCTACACATTCTACTGGGTGGGCAACGCCACCACAGCACTACGTGGACATGGGGTCGGATTTGCAATATCCGATCGTCCCCATGGCCAGATGGTGGGTGAACCAACAGGCATCAGCGCGCGACTGATGAGTGTTCGCCTACGACTCGGAAAATGTAAGTTTGCCACGGTTATAAGCACGTACGGTCCGACATTGTGTTATTCTGATGACACGCGTGATCAATTCTACACTCAGCTACCCTCCGTGATACGGTCTGTGCCGAGCAGCGACCGACAATTTCTGCAGGGTGATTTAAACACGTGCGTTTGGCGTGATGCATCGGTGTGGACAGATGTTATCGGTCCGCATGGCATTGGTTCAGCGAATGCGAACGGTGAAAGGCTGTTCTCACTGTGTGCCATTCATGGTCAGGCGATCACAAACACACGGTTTGCACTGAGAGTGAGTGATATAGCAAGTTGGACACACCCAGAGTGGTCAGGCTAACCGCTAGACAATGTCATTGTACGTCAGCGTGATATGCGTGAAGTGCGCATGACACGTGTACTGCGTAGAGCTGAGTGTGGCCCTGATCACAAATTGGTGCGGACCAAACTGTACATATATTTTAGTAAATCTATGTATTGCACCTACTCGGTGAAGCGGCGTAAATTCAACATTCTCTCTCTCGGTACTATGGAAAAACGTATTGAACTGAAAAACGCGATAGATGACTTCGCGGTTATCTCTGGTGTGACGCAAAGCTGTATCTTAGCTCCTATCCTGTTTAATATTTATCTTCCTGCAATGATGTCTTGTGCTTTTGATGCTGCTTGTGCTTACGGTGTTCGTGTGGAGCACCATATTGATGGTGGGTTGCTGAACATCCGTCGTTTCGGTGCGAGAACTCTAGTCTGTGAGACAACTATCCGTATGTTGCTGTTTGCTGACGACTGTGCGTTGTTTTCACACAGCGCGGATGAGTTGCAGCACATGACTAGTGCTCTGGCTTCGACAGCGGCCAAATTCGGACTCACCAATCAACACAAACAAAACTGTCTGTATCTTTTAGGCTTCATCGGAGGTGCAACCTTTAATATTGTCGCGAATCAGCATTGGTGCTAAAGCACGGGAAACCACCTGCCGCTTCTGTTACCTTGGGAGTGTGATGTCGACTGACCAGCAGCTACACAATGGGCTTCGTATCGGCGTCTCAAAGGCAGCGGCGGCATTCGGGAAGCTAGAGTATTAAGTGTGGAACAACCATCGGTTTACCGTTGGCACGAAGCTAATGGTCTACAAAGCCTTTTTATTATACGGCAGCGAAACGTGGACGATGTACCGGCGGGATATGCGATATCTCAACCAGTTCCATCAACAGTGTCTGCGACGGATTCTGCGCATCGGTTGGGGCGACAGAGTTGCTGACACGGAAGTGTTGCACCGAAGTGGAATGTATGCATTGGACTGCATACTTTTGCTAAGACACCTGACGTGGCTCGGTCATGTGTGACGTATGGTACGGACGCGGATACTGGAGCAGCTAGTATATGGTCAGCTCAGTGTTTTGGAGCGACATATGGGGAAACCGAAACTTCATTACCAGGACATGATCAAAGTGAGCCTCTCACGTTCTAATCTTGATTGCAGATCATGGGAATCGAAGGCGGTCGATCGGCGTACACGGCGCGGTCTGTTCACGAAGGCAGTTGCCGATGTGTAGGAGAAAGACGTTACGAATGCAGACAAGAAGCGGCAAGTGCGGAATCGGCAAGCGCCGATGGGGTGTACTCCATCGACATCGAGCGCATGGTGCTGTAGCACATGCGGTCGCGAGTGCCTTAGTCAGGCAGGCCTAGTGAGTCATGGGCGAGGCCAATCGGGGCCAACACCGAAACGACGATGGGTGCTGCAGAGAGAATATGCAGAACCGGCGTAGCGTTTGTAGATACGTTGCATTCGATTTACTAACCGCTTGCATGTATGCTGGGTCTCTTTATTTCAGGTGGTGGGTTTGCTCAGGTAGACATTAATGCGGCAATATATATATATATATATATATATATATATATATATATATTGCCGTATTAATGTCTACCTGAGCTATCTTCCATGAACTTGCACATGTCGCTGAAACTAAATTTAGTTAATTTTGTTAACATTTTCGTGTTAGTGACATATGCGTAAAAGATATTTTCCGACCATTTGAACCTATAGCGGAATTTTCGGCAAGCAATTTATTTCATATGCTCATTTATTGAAGAGCTATGTCACCGTAACTGTATGCATTATTCGTTTTATTTTGTTTAATCTCATCGTCTCGGTTTGCTATCCATTGTTAATATGGGCCGTTTTCTGCAATCATAATTGCCGAGACCTATGGAGACTTTTGAAGCAGCTATGGCGTAAAAGCTCTAATAAGCAGATTGAATGTGTGGATGTAGAAAAACTGAATTCTGAGTTCTGTACTTATTCACAGGAAGCATCCACCAACACTTCATTCTCTCTACATTCGTTCGTTGGACCCGGTAGAAAAACAAGATTCCAAAACGTAGAAGTCAACCGTGAACTCAGAAATCCGAATTCAAGAAAGGCTGGTGGGCTCGACCCTCTTTCACCAGAACTCATGAAAGAATGTGCCAATACACATAACATCCACTTGAGGGATCTTTTTAATCGGTGCCTACACAATGTAATTGTTCCCGATATTTGGAGGCCTTTCAGGATAACACCCGTACAAAAGAAGGGATCCAAAAAATTCCGTCCAATCGCCAGTACATCCGTCATGCTGAAAATCTTCGAGCGACTATGTGTGTCTAGGATTTCAACAAGCATTCCGGCCGTGGATATATCTCAGTTTGTGTGCAGACACCGAGGTTTCACATTGGATGCCGTAGCATACCTTGTCAAATCAACAGCACCTGCATTGGATGCGAAATGCAAGTATGTGCGGCTCCTCTTTCTTGATTACGCCAACGCTTTTGGCAGTATCGACAGATCAATCTTGCTTAATTAGCTGTGTGCGAATAGTGTTCAACCAGCAGTGTGCAACCTGATGAGCAACCACTTCGTAAACGGATCACACTTTACCTGGCTGAACGGTAAAATATCCAGCACTTAACGATGACTGGGGCCTCTTACAAGGAGCAATCATGTCTTCTATTCTCTATGCATCGAAATGCTTTAATTCCCCCAACATACGCTGACGACGTATTTTTAGACAGCATCACTCAAACTGTTGAATCATCAACGGCTTTCAAATCGGTTTGGCGGTTGGTCGTCGGTTAGCGGTGGTCGTCGTCCCGATTCCTTATTCGCAATACTTCTGAATGCCGCGATTTGATTTTCGCTCTTTTCCGCACTGAGAAAGTCTGACTGTAGTAAACACCTCTCGCCCCATGGTCGTAAGCGACCAGAACATCCAGTGTTAGGTATCTTGGTGTATATTCATCTCACAATCTATCTTAACACACATTGACGAAACGTTCCGCAAGGTGCGAAAATAATCATTCTATGCCATGAGACACAAAATGCTTTCAGTACTCTGCTCTGTAATTTCAAATTGGCGACTTCACGTATTCTACCCAGTTGGGTATATTGCCTACCTATCATTTTTCCTGGTCTTCTACAAAAAGACTTCATATTGATCGTGCGTTCCAGTAAGCTAAATTTCAAGTGATGTGGACTACCCATAGTGTCTGGTTGACTTCATCGTTATTAAGTACTCTAGTGCGCGTGACAACTTTTCAGCAAATGTTTTAAATGAGTTTTCACCCTCTTCAAGCTGATTTATCCAAACCCTTCTCGTGCTCGTCTAGGGCTCTGCATTTACGCGCAACACGTTATCACAACTCGATCTTAACGTATTTATCGCGTTTTCTTGTGGACTCCAAGGTACTTATCAGCACTACGCGTGAGTTCCTACTTGAGTAATGTGCATACATGTTTTCTTCTGTTTACGATTTGAATTGCAACTTCATGTTAACGTTATGATTCACTACATGCGCAATGCTAGTGTAAAATGCTGAAAATGTTCCCAGTCGGGTTCATAAAGCCTATTTTGAGTTATTTTAAAAAATATGCAAGATTATGTATGAGCAAAATGGAACGGGATGAAGGCGGTTACCTTGTTGGCCAGTTGCGTGTGGTGTGATGCGCAAGAGACCGTAATTGATGAGACGAGTGGAAGGCAATCGCATTACCTTCAGTAAACGATGCTCCTCAGTACCATCACCCCCTGTGGAGTTGGGAACAATAAGCCGTGCAGCAAATTCGCGTAGTTTATTTGCATGCTCCCGCGCCGTCATCACGGACTCCGCACCTTTAAGGAGGCCTCGAATGGCATTTCGAACGGCCTCCAGTTTCTCAGATTCGCTTGGATGATCTGCGGGAGGGCAGAAAAGTGAATATTCAGAGTGGATGCTCACGAAGCTGCATCGTATAACCAACCTACACAGCACTGTATCACCGGGGTTGACTTAGCCAGCAACAAATGTGCTTGGAACGCCGGTGAAGCGATGTCAGTCACATTGATAAACTACCATGAAATGTCAGCGAAAAGGTACACGCGTTTTTCTACTGATCGTATGAACTACGCTGCGAAGCAAAAACACAGGACGTCAGCAAGGACCCATTCAGAGCAGAAATCAAGATTAATCAGGATTGGTAAATCATCGGTAGGACGAATCAGTAGAACTGCTTGTAGGTAAACAGGCATCAGCAGGTACCACATATCTACATCGGGTGACCAAAAGCAGGAACAGGTGACAGGGAAATGCATAATACGATGGGGCGCTACCTTGGACAGATCGAGAGAGAGAGAATGCATTAGAAAACTACAGAAAATGAGTTCATAGCCAACCACTTACTCAAAGTGTTTCGTATGATGACATCCAGCAGCGTTTCAAATTTCGTCCAACGTTGTACTATCACCATATGACAATCCTCTAAGGACCGCCTGGCCGAGCGTGGATCTTGTCTACACTTCTGCTTGTACAAAGAGAAAAGGGACACTAGATAAGCGAGCTCATAATCAAATGGCATCAAGACTAGTGATAGCGGCGAGGAAAGCTGAACAAAGTGCATGGAGACAGTGTACACATCTACGGACGGAGTTGCGGACGTGTAACTGAGCAACATAAAGGTGTGACAAACAAGTACCTATCAGTCACTTCCATATCACCCCAGGAGGAATAATTAACTGTCTTGGTGGCGACGGAGAGATAGGGTTGTCACCGCATGTTCTGCGACAGAAGAGTAACAAGCGGATGACGTAACATCCCCACTTAAAAATATGCGGATGCTATATAGGTCCAGAAGGCTGGTGGACGGGTGGTCCAGGTGTCTGGCGTGTAATCCACAGGTGGTCGGTTCGGCCAGGCGAAGTTGCTGATGGCCTCACAGTCGGCGCGTTAACATTGGTGGTTCTATGTAAGCAAAGCGTCGTTACGATGTACCGGCGTATTGCCAATGTCTGCAAGAGTCAATCAGCGCGCACGGCCAGTCAAGGTAGATCACATAAGCGAATGACGGATTGCTCGACAACCAGCTGTGCTCATAGCTGAGTGATAGCTAGCTCAGTAACGCACTGGTTATAATCGTTTTAAGCCTAGTTTGACAGTCACCTTGGATGGAGTTGCAAACACGTGCCTACCTGAAAACTCTCAAGGAAAAACTATCACTAATCGCACAAAAACGGGAGTCTTGCGAAGTACTGTACCACATACCATCTCGTAAATAGCGAGTCGGTTTTTATGCCACGTTGAGATAGTGGTTCGGATGACAAGTGGCCGCAGTGCCTGTTGTGACACGCTAAGCACCGCAACCAGAATGCGGTGTCGAACGGGAGCCAATGGGTCGAGGAGAGACAGGTAGTTCGTTGATCCCATGAAGCACTTTCTGTGACGAAATATATCTGTTAACTAAACAAGCGCTGTTTCATGCATGAGAAGGCAAGACGTTTCATCGAAAAGATGTACCTGAACACTACACAAGTCGATAAGATTAAACACGGTAAACTGCTCACATGAATTACAAAAAAAGAGTATTGAGAAGAGAACGGAAGCCCCCGGTGTCCAGACTGACCTTATAATGTAGTGCATTTGGTCGTACATGTTAAAGTGCATCACATTAGCATAAGATCGAAATGACTAACATCCGCTCCCATAGGTAACGAGTGAGAAGAGTGTGAACCGCTAAACAGGACAAGTAGTGCCGAAAAGCTAAGCCAAAGCAGTGAAGTGTGTTCACAAAATGTGCGGTCGATAGTGCAATGCTCTGACAGTGATGAATAAAAACGCGGAATTAGATGGAACAAGTTTGTGAAGTGAACGGCTAAAACGGTCCTGATGCGGATGTTCTGTAAGGTACGAATGTGCTACCAACACTTTCGTGTTTACCGAAGTAAGGCTAAAAACCAATAAAGTCTGACGCTTCCAAGCGCCGGTGCACGCAGCGTAAACAAGTAAAATATGGTGGGGGGAGCAGAGGCAACACAAACGAAAAGAATGGAAGTACTGCATGATAAGCATGTGCCCGGGTTCCCATTATGTCAGACACGGTCACCTGTGTGCGATCTCGTACACAACAGTAAGATAGTAGGCGTCAATTCGTTCAGGCAATTTCGCTAATCAGACAGCAACAGAAACGGTTGACCAGTTTAAGACTTCATGCAGGGGTAGGTGATCAATGAACATTCGGATGACGCTATTCGGACGATCCGGTGTGCCATCGGGGTTTTAAATGCAAACCAGTCACTACGTCAGTGTTAACAAAAGAGTGGTATTAAGCAGGCGCTGATGGTCAGAGAACATCAATGTTTTAAGGAAGCAGAGCACGACGCTCAGCCTACTGATCCACAGGTGGAGAACAGCGGCGTTGCAGACCTTGTCCATGACGATAACGCTGAGATCCAGTGGATTCAAGGAAAGATTAAGACTTCAACAAGTAAGAATAATAATAGGTATATTTCTCCTGATTTGAGAAACGGTGTCTGTAGCGGCACAGATCAATTTGTACAGAATTATCCATGCTCTTGCATGGGTGAGATTCATAGGTGAAATATTGGGGTATGCGTGACGCAGATACCAAGGTAAGTGGGCTGCCTAACGATTCCAAGCGACTGTTCAGTGATGATGAAAGCATCTGCACTCCAAAGTTCATAAGTGCTGAAATGTGCAACGCGCAATTTCAGTACTTAGAAAAGTTTGCACTGTGGTTTAGGTATGTTCCAAACCATTGCTACACTCTAAGCCACCTGACGAAAGTCCTGCACAAAAAAGAAACGGCAGACCGTTCACGAAGCTGTCGTCCGAAAAAACGAGCAGATTAGGGAATAGGAGAATCCAAAAGAAACAGATTTGTAGTGATGAATTCCCTGACGACTTCTCGAATACAATGCTTCAAGAGTTAACGCTTGGACATTCCACAATCGAAGGGAAAATACTCAACGCGCTTATCAGGTGAGCAACGACACAAACAGGAATCAGCAACCGAGTCGGGCGATACTTTTACCTCGAGGAAGACTGCTGCCTAGAGCTGTTTGCATACAGCGCAATGCTCCTAGTATATCTTAAATGTATGGGAAGTGGACACTTAAGTAGAGTGGGTGTCAACATATCTTTTATTGGCTCAAAACATTCGACGATCAAGAAACCACCGGAAAAAGATAAATGTGAACACTTCGGAAGCAAAGGCAATAGGACTAATGCCTTGAGGATTCCACGGTCTTTGGAGAAACTGGGGGAGAAGGCTGACAAATGCTAGTCCAAAAGCACCACTCGAGTGCACCATACATCACGGTATAAATTGGTAAGACTAGAAAACAGGAGCATTGCTCAGTAAAAAAACAGTTCCAAACGGAAACAATGTAAGGCGGTCGATGGAACTCCTCATATTCCACGTGGGTTCACTGACCATGAGAAACGACTGACACAGTGGAAACGCGTAACAGTCCTCCGGAATGTAGTGAGTCGGAGTGTAAATCAGCTGTCTATATTTCACAACCACTACTTAACTCACCGATGGTTATCATGAACCCGTTTTTCGAATGGGCAGTGTCGTAATATAGCCGTTTCACTATTTTCGTGCCCCTGAGTTATCAACACCGTCAGCGTTTACTTGTAAGAACCTCAGAAAAGGGTCGTTTCAGAGAGTTGTACATACCATGAAATAGAGTACCCGATGAAAACGATTTCAGTGCTCCAAGCAAATTACTGATCGCCTTGCTGCCAAAACTAACAAACAAGCGACTACTAACTCCCTCTTCCTTATTTGCTGGACCAACGACACTGGACCTTAAGGTGGTACAATGGTTTGCGTACACCTGTGACCCATTAAGCTACATTGGGTGGCAACTTTCAAGTGTCTTCAGAGCCACTCATACCACACAGTACAATGGTTAGGAGTCAGACTAATTCAGCCTCATAATCCAATCCTCTTCGGAGGTTAGGGAGAGGTCGACGGCCCACTTCTTTTAAAACCTAACAATGCGAGACTATAAGTCTACGGATTATAAGCTCACGCATCGACTGGCGTAGAGCACGAGCGCCATGCATTGTCTCTGACGGTGCGAGGGTACTTTCTGGTGCTCAATGTCTTGTTACCGACCACATCCAGCCAGGCAGCCCCTGGTCAAATTGCTGCAAACCCGCTAACTCCCATCTGCAGCTGGTTGTGGTCGCAGGCACGTAAAGCAATACAGTCGTAAAACACGTGCTTTGTTCCAAATCTTCAAAGGCTGAGTGTGACACGCCTCAAGCAGTTCCCAATGGGTCTCTGCAATCATACTCCCAAACGGGACTCGTTCCCCACTGCATTGTGGGTCAGGCTATTGAGCCAAATGCCCTGGGGGAGTCGCACAAGCGAACCTCCAAATCCCCCACAACATTGTGGATCAGGTTATTGAGCAAAAGGCTAGAGGCAAGGTACGTCGAACAAAACCCCTCTCTCGGAATGGGTACCCGGAGATTATGACCGCCGTTTCGACTATATACCCACTTTCTTTGATTTTCGTCCTCCCAACGTCCTTCATCCTGTCTATTGAGCAAGAGACTGCTGCTGAACTAGCAACTATTGTCATCAATACATGCAGCCCTTTCATCATACATAGTTTCAGTTCACATTGATTCTTTTAACGCCCGCGCATTTGGGTCAGATCGGCCAGCAGGCGGCACCAACTCTCATTCTTCACTCTCCTGGTATTGATGCATGCTATGTTTTTAAAACAAGCATAAAAGATAACAACATTGTGACGAATCTCTGACTCCCTGGTTCTGAATGTCATGACGATGGCTACACTCTCCGCGTCTCTGGCGATACCCAGTCAACAGCCCAAGGGATTTACGGTATTGGTACTGTCCTCAGCAAACAAGCTAAAGGCATTATGCTCGACAGGATAATGGTGAGCAGCCGCGTGTGGGTCGTTCGACTTCGAATCTCTACTAGTGACAATAATCACCGTTTGAAGAAAAAGTGCTTTTTCATCGTCCTGTTTATGCACCGACTGAATGCAGTTCAGAGGGTATCAAAGACGATTCCTATCGTGAGAACTCATCTCTTCTGCACATGACGAAAAAGACTGACATTGTGATTGTTGATGATGATATGAATGTCTGAGTAGGTCGTCTTACAGAGTTTGAACAGCAGCTGGAAGGCCACTTCGGAATCGATGCACGCCGAACAGATAATGGTGATCTTTCTGCAACTGTGTGCCGACTACAAGCTTTACCTTAGCAGTAATACTTTCCAGAAAAAAAACGTTCACAGCACATCACTTGGCGTCCACCAAATTCCTCAGTGACTCGCACTCAAATTGACCATATTACCATTAGCTACAGATGACGCATATCAGTACAAGACTGTCCGTCAATTTGGAGCACGTGCCTGAATTCTGATCATGCTCTAGTGTGCACAAGCTTGGCGCTCACTCATCCGACTTTAGAAAAACAACGCGTAGCTCCTAAACTTACCTGTAAGTTGAACTAGCAGTCTGCAGTTCAACAATACCAAGACGAAGTGGCCTACCAATTGTCGGTGATGGATAAGGTTTGTGAGCTGAACGCTGACTTGGATAGTCTCAGATGTGTTATGAAGAATGCCTTTGAGGCATGCTGTGTGCCCAACTTGAGACATGTGAACCGTGAACGGACCTCTGCGCGTCCATTTTCTTTGCATTATATTTGTCTTTAACCTCACTAAATTGCCGTCGTTATTTATTGCTTTGCTTGCGATGTGAGTCGTAGCAACTAGATCCACCGCACTTCGGTTCTCGGATCATAGCTGATCAACTGAACTGAACTGAACTCTGAGGCGTCGATCAGTTTGATCGAAGTGCGTAAACCGGTTCCCATGGGCACGGAGTTCCAGCGTGCCCATAACTTCCTGAAACGACGTCTGACAAGGAGTCTTCGGAAAGACAAGGAACATAGGCGGGTTGCAAAGGCCCGTTAGATGGAGAAAGCCAGTGCTATTGGAAACAGCCGAGTGCTATTCGAATAGCACACAAGCAGAGCATTCGGAACACGGGTCTGAGGGAAGTTTCCGTCAGGGAGGCAGAAGCTGAAAAAGATGGACTGTTGATCCATTCTCTTCCGCGTCGACTAGCTAGTTGGGCGCAAGATTTTGAAGAGCAGTTCAACAGACCTGCTGCGACACTACCGATTGTCGAAGCATGGGAAGTAGAAATCACACCTACCACCTGGGAAGAAATTCGATATAACCATTCCGAGTTGAAACGAAACAAGGCTCCTGGACCTGACGACTTTCCCCCATCTTTGATGAAGACTGGTAGTGACTCTTTATTGACTGGACTCGCTTCTCTATTTAACACGATTTGGAAGATTGAAACGGTGCCTTTAAATTGGCGACTATAAATAGTAGTGCTCATCTTTAAGAAGGGCTAGTGTATTGTGTACAAAAATCACAGAGCCATTGGCATTATTTCCATTACCTCCAAACTGCACACGGGTATCAGACTCCGATGACTTACTGGTCCCCGTGACAAGCGAATTACTGACATTCACGATGGTTTCCGCTCTGTTCGTGGTCGCATCGATCACGCATTTACACTTCGCCAAGGTTTAGAGCAGAGATGCACATACAGATGACCGACTATGGTGGTTTTCCTTGACTTGAAAGCCGCCTTCGACTCTGTCGATCGCGGCAGCTTGTGACCCCGCTTATCCATGAAGGGCGTGCCGACTAAATTCCTTTCAATCATGCAGTCTCGCTACCGTGACTACCGAGGCAGCATAAGGGTCTATCGGAAACTGTCTCCTCTTACCCTTAGTGATCGAAAGGATCACAAATTACTCCGTCCTTTACGCTCTTCTGGAGTGGAAGCAGTGCCAGGTAACCGGCCGATGAAGCTTGAGTACGCGGACGACTTAGCTCTGCTTGTGTCTGAAGCAGTGTCTGTGCAAGTATGACTGAATAGCTTGACATGTAGAGCTGCACGATTCGAGAGTTGCTTTGCATTTTGAAATTGTAAAACACTGCTGCGGGGCTTGGAAGACAGCCATTCCATCGGTTCTTGTTGTCACTGAACAGACAACGCAAGTGATAGGTCGGTCGGTTCGCTCACTTTGTAATATAACAGCCGGGTGGCTGCGGTTGTCCTAGTCGGCTCTAGCTGCACGGACCCAGTGCAAAGTTGGATCCAGAATGATACGGAACACACCTGTCGATACTCGCGAACCAGTCGGAACGCACTAGTCGCGCTGTGTATCGCTTGCCACCCGCTCACCCAAGTCGGAAAAGAGAGAAGAATGGCCTTCAGCAGCGCAGTTGAGTACACAGCTGAACAGCCTCAATTTTATACCGAGACTGGCGAGATAGACTGCGGAGGCAAATACAAGAAAGAAGTGAGGAAGAGTGTTCCGGTAATCGTGGACATGTACGTGACAGGAGAATTCACACGCTATACTGGGTGTCGGAGCAAGTGAATTGTGTGCGTGCTAGACATGAGTGTGTATGTGTCCGGATTGTGAATTCACAAAAGCTTGATGTCTGGATTGCGACTTGTGCGACCTTTTCAGAGACAAGTGTTCCTCATAACACCTTGATGATCGTGTCACCACTGGTGGTCACATAACTGAGGCGGTTAATTCGAGTCCCAGTGAAGCCAATGCGGCTTTTTAACGGGAAACCATATGGAAACGGCGGGATATCAACCTAACAGTCGAAGCAGGGTATATGATGTTGCGAGACGTAGCCGGCTAACCAAAATGAGTTACCGGCTTCTTTTTCGGCCATTGAGCGCCATTCTCTCTGGGCCGTCTCCTTGGATTCGCCATAACGCTCAGAAGTCGAACGTGAGATCAGGTTGTTGAAATTGCATAAGGCCACAGGGGCAGATATAATTCCCCCAGCCATCTTCAAATTCGGGGGACCTGTTCTAGTAGATGATTTACACGAGTTGGTAGTGAAACATTGGGAGCAGGAGACTGTCCCGACAGACTGGAACCGCTCCGTCATTAACCAAATTTTCAAAAGAAACTCCCGTTTGGAATGCGGCAATCAAAGAGGGGTCACTCTGATTTCGATTGTCTCTAAATTGCTTACCTCTGTCATTCTCCACAGACTGACTGGCAAACGTGAAAGCCAGATTCATGAAGAGCAAACTGGGTTTCGTCGAGGTCGGGGTTACATCGACCACATCTTCACCTTGCGACAATTATTGGAGCACCGCCATGTTTATTGGCGACCCACCGCTGCCGTGTTTCTTAACATAAAAGATGCCTTCGACTCAGTCGATCGACGTGCACGTTGGGATTGTCAGCTGAGGAAAGGTATGCCTGATAAATATGTAAACATTATTAAAGCGCTGTACGCGCATAGTTCGGGTTTATGGTAAACTGTTGCCACCCTTCAATATCACCAGCGGTGTGAGACAAGGTTTCCCGCTGTCACCTTTCCTCTTTAACTTCGCTATTGATGAAGTCACGGAAACAGCGTTCGCTGGACACGACCTAGAAGGTGTGGAGCTACTTTCTGGTGAGCGACTTCTTGACTTAGAGTATGCGGACAATATTGCCCTAATCTGAGACAGATCCCAAACATGCCAAGCAGCACTGGACCGATTAGCACTGGCTGTCAATCGTTTTGGGCTATGCTTTGCTCCATCGAAATTCAAAGTACTTCTCCAAGATTGGCAATGACCCACCCCTGCGCTAACGCTTTGTGGTGATCTGCTAGAAGTCGTTCAGGAATTCAAGCACCCGTGGGATCGAAGATGAGGTTACGAACCGTATAGTAAAAATTCGAGGTGCTTTCACCAATCTCCGCCACCGGTGGCACAGACGCGACATTACTCTCGCTCTGAAGGGCAGAGTTTATAACGCAGCCGTCCGTCCAACTCTCCTATATGGTTGTGAAACCTAGCCCATCAGGTCGACAGACAGAAAGTGGCTCGTCACATTCGATCATCGCTGCCTTCGCAGCTTAGCTCATGTCTGGTGGGAGCACCGCGTGAGCAATGATCGTGTTCGGCGTCGCGTATTTGATGCAGGAAGAGCGAGTGAACCGCTCAGCACCATTATATCACGCACCAGGATGCGATGGTTGGGCCACGTGTTGCGCATGCAAGCACACCGACTTCCGCGACGTGCATTGTTTGGGCATTGTGGGTGCGATTGGAAGAGGAGGAGGGGAGGCCAAGTGATGACTTGGTCGAGAGAAATGAAAACCCTCACTTCGAAGTTGGCGTCGGTTGGTGCATCCCGACTGCCTGGCTGGGGTCCTAAGGACCATGAACACGTTTGGTTGGACACACTTGCTGATATGGCTTGGAGCCGGCCCCAATGGCGTTTGTGTTGTGAGTTCCTTTGTTCATCCTCCCCCCCTGCTTAGCATCCGCCTCCAATCACGATCCCACTCGTTAGATGTAATATAACTCTCTTTTTGCGGCAGGATAGCCAGCTGTTAGCTCTCCGGAACGATGTCCATCCGTTACTGGGGACTCAGTCGGCGTGCCACTGTTTGTTTTCCTTTTCTTGTCTTTTGTATTGCAGCACAATAACTGAGGTGTTTTCCACCTGCAGCTAACGTGTATAATGATGATGGTGATGACGTAGCCGGCCAATTCGTGCCGAAGAGGTTAAACGGTTGATCACGTTTGATCACCAGTGCTTGCAGAGTATTGCTCAAATGTAGTGGACCACAGGGTGAGCAATGCTGAGATTCGCTAATTAGTATTTGGGGGAGAAACCCTGTATTTGTTAAAACTTAACCCTGTAGGTTGGCTAGGTCATGTCCTTCATAGGGCGAGTGAATGCCTTCTTCAGTATGTACTACACGTTAGCGCTACAGTTAGTTGGGCGAACCGCGAGATGGCCAGTCGATAATGTGGAAAAATATATGAGGAAACTGACCTAAGGACTCGGCTAGGCTGGTGCGTGCTATTGCGAGTAGACTAGGGCCACGTGATGGTTGACATCAGTGGTTGGAGACCCTACCGGAGATGGCGCAGTTAAGGATGTTCCTGAGACCCGTTTCATGTGGCCAGCAATTAGTGTTCTAATGCGATTAGTTTTACACCCATCTCTCCTAACCGCCTTTTCTTTGTGCTCTGCCTGTGTCGTACGTAATTTTCAGCACAATCGTTGTGTTGTGTTACCTTAGCAAAGTAAGCCGTGATAAGTGGATACAATCGGTGCACAGATCATATTTATTTAACTGAAATGAACCGAACAAATTACGAAGAGTTTGATAAGATCGGAAAATGACAGTTATCAGCAATAGTGCTGTGTGACGTCAGAAGTTCCATCAACGTATCAGGTGACGTACCTCGAAAAATTGGGCAATCGGTGGCCAGTGTTTGCAAATTTGCAATTGCTGCCTAATTCGCTTTTGCGCAAACATAAATCCTCCATACAGCTCTGAGAGATCGGCCTGAGTTTCCTTGTCAAACTGAAAAAGAAACACACGGTAGCTACTGATCACCCATTTCATGGGTAAGGCGGGTAAGCAAATTGTGAGAACGACTAGGCGATGAATAGTTGAAGATAGTAAGCAAAACTAGAGAAAAAGCGATGGACAATTATCTGGTACCCAAGACTATGCAAGCGCCAGCCATCACCAGTTGACAAGCTGACCATGGCAGACCCGTTGTCCCCAACGACTCTGTCAAGATGACCAGTACCAGAAGGTGACAAGATTGCAGAGTTTATCAAGTGAGTGTAAAGTCGCCACCTGTGGACCCCGTGAGAGCCCGCAGTAGGCGCGACCAATCACAAGCGCGTCATCAGTAAACACTTTATGCACTAGAATGTGCGAAGTCCCCCCAATTATCTAGCACTTCGGAGGACTGAAACACAACTACGATTGTTCGCAGACATTAGCGTGGAGAACAATTTGGGATTTAAGCAGCGCAAACCAGTCAAGTAGTACAAAATCACACTACAGTACGATGTAGTGTGGCAAAATAAAATTTTGAATTTTGTGAACTACACATAGGGAGATGGAATAAAATGAATAGATGCCAAAGGAAGAAATGTGCGCCCGAGTCTTTTCTGGAGAGTAATGTATCACGTCGAGTTGCATACAGAAAAGTGGGACAGCTAGTAAGTAGAACTGCCTGCAATGAGTTATGGAACAAAAAATGTAGAAAAAGTAAACACGGAACAATATGACACAGAGTCCTTTCTTGAAACTTGTGTTAGTAGTACAAATATGTGTTGGCTGAAGTAGCCTACACGCTCTCAAAATAAGGATCATGCACAAAACCATCTCGCAACTCAATATCATAGAGACGTATGATACGTCTGGGAAACATAGTGCAACTGGTAGGTCACGATAGAATGATGTCCAATTCGACAATGTGCCAGCGTAGTAAGAGCCGCGTGCGCGATAAGTGCACATCGCGCGACAACACGCATGACTGAAACGGATATGTGCGCTGAATATGCTAGCTTGGTCCTACTCGGGTCTTTGGAGCCCGAGAGGAGAACAATCAAGGTCAGTGAGCAATGAAGAAGAACCCCCGCAGTGACATCAAACGAGCGCATTGGTGTGCCGAAGAAGAAAAGCAAGACGGAAATAGTAGTGCGTTGTGGAAAAAATCAACCGGTAGCAGGCTGTGCACAACACAAGTTACCAACCAGAAAGCCAACTTGACCGTAGCTTTCATCTCCAATGGAGAAAGGAAAAGTCGTCTCAACAGTTGAAGCTGGGACAGTTTCAATACCTATTAGAGGTGACCCTGGTCTAAATAGTAATGTTTACATAGTAGCAGCAGTCGAAATAGTAATGTTCCTCGTGTCACCAACTTGCATTGCCTGGGAAACTAACGCTTCGAAGAAACACGTTGATTTTATGAATGCACATAGCAGCCAATAGTAAAGTAATTGGAATGATCGACTATTTCCACTGATATATCAGTAATGGCTAAATAAGTCGAAGTAGCGGTAGCGAGTGTTTGCTGTTGGGATGTCGCCTTGTTCATCGAGCTAGCTAATTTGCTCGTGGACGTCTCGTCACTAATCGAGGTGCACAGTAGTAGGTTTTCTGGTAGGCAATTAGCCCGGAGCTGCTCGAAACTACTTGTCTACTCACAACTACGCACTGAAAATGTCACCTTTATTGGTGACAGAAGGACGTCAAGCAAACTGCTAAGCTCAGCGAACAAAGCAACATATTAGTAATGACAGGTTATGCAATAAACCAGATACGCTGAATGGGCGATGCAGAAGTACAGCAGCTTACACCACTCTGTTTCTGAGATTCTGCGTGGGAGCAAGGACCGACTCCGAGAGAATGATGTCCTCCGCATAAAATAAAGATGTCAGAGGATCACTTGGCGAAGTTATCATCGAATGTAGCAATAGGAAAAAATCCCTAGTGAGTTTTACCATCAATAAATTGAAGAAAAACAGAGATAGGGCAGTCGTAGGGAACCTTGATCGTTGACATGAACGTGTAGGAAAACTTTCTAGAAAAGCATAAGTAGTTTACAAAGGCGATGTGGTACGAGTTCAGAATTGAGGTAACTTACACTGGCCCTGTTTGCAAGAATATAAAGAACTGCGAACAGCTGAGGCCAACTAAATTCATGGAGAACCAGTAAACAGTCACACGTCATTCATTCACCCACAAGAATGAAACAAACCCAGCTCCTGGGTATTCGAATGGCGCGAAGACTCACCAACCACCCGCGCAGGAGGCGCGTAAGCAACGGGCGCATAGGGGATGGGGCAGATGCCCCAGATGTTCTCATTCAGTAATTCAACCGACAACAAATGGAACGTGAATCGATAACAGACATCCTAAGGGCACTTCCCATGTGTGCTATACTGTACAGAGGAAGGACAGACGATCAGATAGTAAGAGAAAGAGGTAAGAACCGAAATGATGAAGGTCGTGTAGGCCTGTGTTTGCATTGCGAATTAGGTCACACCAGTTCATACCATCAATCAAAGCTCGCAACCCCAAAATTAACGAACCGAGTGTGGATAGATGGTTCAAGTATCAGGTGCGAAACGGTGAGTGGACCAAATCGCGCCTAGAAAACCTCAGGTCAGTTTTCCGACAAAAGCGGCATACATAACTAAAGGTGATCTAAGAAAGCCAGATGAATATGCACGAGTGGAAACTGTTTTAATTCTCCTTGACCGTTGGTTGTAGGTCGATCCAACATCCGAAAAAGAAGGAAATTGTGCACTGGAGTATAAGTAAGCTGCGCATCATATGACCTAAGAAAAAGACCGTGTGGAGACAAGAGACTTTGATCGTAGCAAAGAAAAACTTCTGATTTCTCAAGGCGGTGCAATGATATCCATTAGACAAGATTGCCTCAGGGAAGCTGTTAAGTATATTTCAGATGAAATTGGACAAGAAACGGCTGCATTCAATGGGCCTGAACTTCCCATTCTCAAGAGGCTTCAATTTATATCAAAACCCCTGACAAATTCTGAGCACCTTATTGTGGGAGTCAATAGAAGTTTAAAACTTCATTAGGATATGACCAAACATGTTATGAAAGAGGTTTGTCACCTGTTAATACTATAACCGTCTTTGAATTTCTTATATGAAATTTAAAAATGTCAGACATTGTACCAAAGTGGGCGATCATTCTTTGGATCCAGTAGTGGTGAAATCTAACGTTTTGAACTGCTGCGCAGACTTAGCCGCACAACATGATCTGGCAGACTGTTCCAAACATTCACCACTCTCCTTTCGAAGCATAGAGGATGGGGAACTCGCTTCGTATTCAGCACCATAAGGTTTTACCGGTGTCCGCGTGTGTTGCATGGCGTTCGCAAGTGAAGTAGCGATCTAATGATGGGGAAGTCGCCGTTATGGAATATGCCGTAGGTCACGTGTAGATCGACTCGCACCCAACGATAGACAAAGTGTAGAGTACTAGTTTCTTGCACCAGTCTTCGTACCGCGTGGTAGCGACGTGCTGGACACACCCGATTTTCTGTGCCTCGCCTCGGGTGATCGGACAGCATGCGCGCGAGTCGTACTCTAGCAATGGTTTTATGATGGAAAAGAAGAGGCGAATGGTGACCTCTTCAGACCAAGTACAGAAGCTGCGTTTGAACGGTCAAATCATGCGCATTCAGTTGCAATATACCCTGTTCGTGCTCTCTACGGGCTTTAAACTGCAGTGCAAGAGTACATCTAGGTCCTTCATGGAAGGTGTGGGATGTAGCGACCGGCGGTCACCACATTGCGCTGCCGCTCATACGCTTCGCAGTCGTTGGAAGAACCGGAGAGGAAAAATATGTCCAATATTCTGCGCTATCGCCGAGTCATTTTTCCATACTCCATGTCGAACGAATGTGGCCTGATTGGTCCAGTTTTCCGACACTTCAGTGGTACGAAATAAGAACTCAGTAATGTCACTCCCTCGTTTATAACTCCCCAAAAGTTCCAGAGATGAAGGCGGGGGCAGAAACCAATCTATTTGGCTTGCAGCTCGAGTTAGACCGCCGAAGTCAATTTTCCAGTGGTCGTAAGCTGGCTCCAAAAATAAGGATACGGCAAGATGGTTTCTGTTCTCGCTATGAGCACTGAGTGGTCGCTTGTTGCTAGAGACGTCGGGATCCGAACGTCAGACACTTGTTGTTCGTAACTCGTTGGTAAAAGCTACATGCAGACCGCAGCAGGAACCGCCGCGCGTGCTTGAAGTATGAGCAACCTGGTTATACCGAGGCGCAGTAAATCGCTGTTTTAGTGCTGTAAATATTGTAAGAGTAAAGATAAAATGAACCATATTCAGTGCATCAAAGAAACGGATTGAAACCATGTAAACCCGCCACTTAATCGGAAGTATCAAGCTGAGTGGATAAGAGCCTTCGAAGAGCTTCCTGATAGTGCGTGGGAATAGAGTTAAAACGGACGTCCGGTCATTCACAGTATGTGGCAATAACAGCTGATGTCCATATCTAGGCTGATATAGATAGTTGTGGGCCGTTGGCATGAATGGAAATTCATGCAACCAAGATGTGGCACGTTCGGCCGACGATGAAAGAGCGTGGAGCTCACCTGATCGCACCAGATCCGTCAACAAGTTTACAATGATGCACGCTACCTGTAGCTGGTGGCAATGGGGGTAAGTAAAAGTGTCGTTCGATCGCGATGCCAGATGTGAACGCATGTGCTGAAAGACAGTGCTGATGAAGTGGGGGCTGTGGCTTACACAGGGTTGATGTACGCGGAGACCACTACCCGCACAAGGATAAGCCCCCGACTGACCAGCTGGTATCAGTATGGTCCGCGATAAGCGGGTCACGCCACAAATAACGATCATAATAATGGTGGGAGTGCAGGAAGTTCGCTTCATTAATATTTGTCATCCCTAAAAATACCGTCGGTGAGAGAAAACCCAATGACTATAAATACAGTGTTCCTAGGTACATATTATCAGCACCGATTAAAGTTGAAGCTAATAAAACGGGTACGTTTTGGAATCCACTCAACAGATTGCCCTTCGTAGAGCCATGCTA